GTTGGTTCTCTTGGAGGAGCTCGTCATGCTGGCTTTCCTGATGAACTCAGCTGTTCTCATCGTCTGAGGAGCTTGGGACCTTGTTGTCACTGACAATGGCTTTGATTCACTTTGGGGGAGCTCTGGTCCTCACTTTTAGCCTCGCTTCCTGGCTCTGGAGGGGAAGGTGGTGACTGCTCAGTCTCCTGGAGAAGCTTGTTGCACTGGCTTTCCTGATGGGAACTCGGCTGTCCTCATCATGGGAGGAGCTCGGGACCTCACTGCTGCTGAGGATGGCTGTGGAACTTTTCAGGGGAGCTCTGGTTCTTATTTTTTTCATGCAGAACATTTTATAAATATTCCTTTGAGCAAAATGGTTTAAATGATTTTTCTTCAGGGAAGCTGCTCCAAAATATCCTACGCATCCTTTGTAAATTTAAAGATCCCGGAATAGCATCTTCCATGTGGGACTTCTTGAAAGATAGTATTTTAGTTTCAGTGAGTTACACAAATGAATTACCAGTCCTCGTTAATTTAATATGTTCATTTACAGAGTACGGTAATTTTGTTCTTTAGATTTGCACAATTTGTAGAGAAAGAAAATCACAGCCTGCATACCCAAGACAAGGACAATTCCTCCAATGAAATTTCCAGAGTGTAAAATTGACAACTGGATTTCCTTGAGGATCGACTGTCACATTTGTTAATTCTTCTCTACTTTAATTATACTATTCTTTATAAACTTTTCAAAGTTTTATAGTAGTGGATATTTCCCTAGTAATGACCTCTATGTGGATAAATATACTGCGCAGGGTTAGTCACTATTTAGGGGCCATTAGTGAGGGACAGTCACTCACTCGTCGCCAAGATAACCACTCTATTTGAGTCTAAGCTAACTTTGGAAACCTCTGGGACTAATTATCAGGTCCTGCCAGGGACTCCCAGTCTCTCTCTGGGGAAGCACTGAGGGGCACGCAAGAGTACCAAAGGCGGAACCAAATCTCTTGAGAGCTAGCTGCAGAAGTTAATAGGCATCAGAAGGTTCCAGATTTGCCTGACATTCAACAGATGGCTGACACTGTGGTCATGGCCCACTATTGCTGGTTGAGATTTCACAGGGCTGCTTTTGCACCAACCCAGAGATCTCCAAGTCCCAAAGTATGCTGGAGAATTGGAACGCTAGGTCAGAGGTAGCTGTAAGTACACCAGCTCCACGGAAGTACCAACCACTGCGCCATCAACGTTGACTCCAGTTCATCTTACGGTAGAAAAGTCTGCATTTCCAGAGATAGTGCAATAAGACTAATGGCATATTAAAGAATTTTTTTTCCTTTGGAGGATTATTTATATTCTGTAGAGGTATAAACACAGTTTCTTCAAAATTAATATCAAAAAGAACATGGTCTTTGAGTAGCTGTGGGGTTACCCTGTGACAAAGTTAGCAGAATCAATCTAAACATAACCTTCAGTAATAATTTTCCAGTTATTCAGCTCCAGGCCTGAGTTATCCAATATCGTCATGATACAGGCAGCTGTTACCAGCTATGAACAAAGCAATCCAGATGTCTACTTATCCTTCTCTCTCCCCATCCTCCTCTCTCCCCTGCATTTTATTCCTCCCTTCCTCTGGTTAATTAGTTCATACTTAGATTTTACTTCTCCTTCCCACCTGGCATGCCTGGCAGTCTGCAAAGCACCTTCAAAGTACAAAGATCATACTACTAGAAGAGTCACTTTCTTTTCTAAACTCTCATTTACAGCAACATTTACTTCCCTGATTCCTCACAAATAACAGTAAACATATTAACTATTCACCATGACCTTGTTAACTAATTTATTTTCAAAATTATTCAGTGCTTTATAAAAAGAAACTTCTGCATAGATTTTTAGCTTTTTAACATTCTAAAGGTTGATTTTTTTAAAAAAAATATTTCTCAAAAGTTGTATCATGGTTACTTGGATTTTTAACCATTTTAAATCACTATTTCCTCTAAAAAGGAATATTTTTATTCTGTAATTTGCTTAGTTTTGCTTACCTCTGTTCCATTTATTTTCTGCATACTAAAGTGGCTCAGCCTAAACAGTACATAGTATTTCCAGAGTGTAAAATTGACAACTGGATTTCCTTGAGGATCGACTGTCAACTGGTCCATACGACGAAGTTGTGCTAGTGCATTAAACTGCTGTAGCATCACAAGATTTGTCTCCTTGAATTTAAGGTGCTACAATCATAGAACACAGAAAACAATCTGAGTATTGCATTTAAACATCTTAAAAAATTAACACTAAAGCTTCACTGATCATTCTTCAAGTGAATCTGTAAGCTTTCGGCTTAGCCAGTATGTTTCCAATTACATTAAATCAAATGTATGTATTTAATCCAGCCAGGGTATCATTGATGGAAGTCACTTAATACTAAATTCTAAGTGATTCCTTCTGTAAAGGGCATCTTTATTATTAGCAAACTATGACTCTTAAACGTTATTTACATATGAAATAATTCAGACTCAGGCATTACAATGATATATTGATATTAAACCTACAAAAAAGTCCCTGGAAAGCATGAAAATTTCAGAATTTACAAATACAGGTTCACCATGCTCCTGAGAAGAACCTCTTTTAGTCATTACTACCCATATCTTGCTAAATATGATGCAGATTAGTTAAATCAAATCCCTGAAGTGTGAATGCAAGTGTCCTAGTGGGGAATTTGGACGGTCTTTGCTAAACAGACCATCTCCAGTCGTGTCTATCTTCATTAGGGAGGAGGAAATTTGAAAAGAAATTAGTATAAAAGGTACCTGAGAAAAAACACTCAGCTAACAGAGAAAAACAAAATAATAATTCAGAGGTGAGAACTCACTATAAATATCAGTTTCTACAAATGGATACTAATAAATAATACAATAACCTAATTGGGGAAGACTAATTTTCAAAGTCACTTTAACAATACACTAAAATTCTTTTCAATGTTATTATGGACTACTATAAAAATTATATAATAAATATACATATTTCATTAATACTAGGTACAATAGATAATACAGGTACAATAGATAATACAGTTGACTGCCTTGTGAGGTACTGAATAAAGTTGGGTTGGTATTTTGTACTCTGTAAAGGATTGCTCTTTAGAAATACAATTTCTAATATTAACACAAAACTTCAAGACCACTTATGATTACTAATTTAAGTCCCTGGGCAAAAAAACAACACAAAGCTTAGTCTTCCTACCAAATAAAAACTCCATAAATAAAAGTTAAAATAGGTCTTTGGCCTGAACACACAAAACATCATTAAAGATAATTCAAATACACTAACTACATAAAGGAAATGTTTACCAGAGAATTAGGAAATTTAATCTTCAATTTGGGAAGCACTTGGACAATTTCATCGAATTCTATGAAGGTGAAGGAGACTGTTGTGATCATCCCTGCCGTCTGAACACTCCAGTTCCGGTCCAAAGATTCTAGGGCCCCTGAGCCATATAGGGAGAGAGTGTCCCCATCCACTTCAACGAGGTGTGTGTCTATGACAGACAAGCCTTGTAAAGCACTGGTGATTCCTGAGTCGACAGCCCTGCAAAGTCCAAAGTATAATTTTAAGGGAAAGTCTTACCATGCAAAATAAATAACAGAATAGGAAGACATACTGAGAAAGTATGTTATAATTTTATATTAATTTCTAGAATTATAACCACAGCACCTTACACTAAATTTCAATAGACTACCTGGAAGCTTTGTATTATCATAGACACATATTTAATTAAAAATAAGAACATTATGAACCACTGCCACAACAAAATACCACCTTTAAACCCACATGACTTACATTAATGGAAGATAACCATTTAATATGTCTTTAATACACCATCAATATCTTTTTCATGTCAATACAAATAGGATTTTGTAATCTATAAAACTCTCTAGCTGAGAAAATGCATTTTACAAAATAATATTTCTATAATAAGAGCCATACAATATCAAAAAATGTGTTTACCAAACATATTAGTAACTTAAAATATTTTGTCCCTCAGACATTGGATTCAGTGGTAACTTTGGCTTTCTATTCTTTTTTGTAATTTTTAAGTGATCTAGGTATGAGTAAAATCAATGATTTCCTCACCAATTTGAATTAAAAATGATGGAAGACAACTCATGACATATATACACAAAATCTCTTCACATTACTGAATAAGGTAATTATTATATTTTCAAAGTAGGAGCCATATTTTCTATAAAAGCTTACCTAAATGACAGCTAGAGAATGAATAAAATATCTTAGTCTAATTCAAAGTTCTGCTGTGAATAAAGACATCACTATGTACTTTACCTAACCTCTCACCGTCACGCTTGCCTTTGTTCTGTGAGTCTTCATTCCGGGAGTTTTCATTCACTGCACTTATTTCCCCTTTGCAGTTGTTCTGCTTTGTGCTGCTATGTACTTTTGCACTCACCCAATACCTCCCTCCCCACACTGGGCCCAAATCATACATTTACACTTTCTGCTTCTTCCATGTAGAGAATTTATTAAGGCGAGGCATCGTATTTTTTCCATCTTTGGGGCCCCTAAGGCCTCGTTATGACTTTTTACAGCGTATACCTGTTAATTATTAAGGATCTTCAAACTTTTTGTGCTGCGGTGATGTTGGGAGGTATGACTCATCAACCATTACCTTGTCAGTTTATTATGCTAATTTCAAAGGCTCTAGTTAACCCTTCACACATTTGTTTAGTCAATAACAAGCTGGGTAATAACATCACTCTATTCTAAGTAAGTAAGCAATCAAGAAAACACAAAAAGGCTTAATTTCTACCAGACTTAGGGCTTAAGAGAGAGAATAATTAGACATTCAATAAGCAGTTGTATAAGAAGAGTCTTAGATGGTAAGTTTTAGAAAGGTAAAGGTTGATAATAGCTCAAAACTAGGATACGAATTAGTTCCATCTATTGTGCTTTGGGTCATACACTGAGTTAGAAAGAATATACAATCATTACTGGAGTAGGACTAAGGCCAGCAGTTAGCATTTTGCTGTCACTAAAATAAAGAAGGCATGTGTTTACTGTAGCAATTATCACATTGCGCTGCAATTACATATTGACTTTTCTGTCTCTTTTACTAAATATTTTGAACTTTTGGGGCTCAAATTTTGCCACATTTACTATAGTAAAGCCATCATCCAGCACAGCTCTTAGCACATGCTTTGCCCTATAAATATTTCGTGGGTTAATTAAAGAAATGAGAAATTTTTTTTTTTTTTTTTTTTTTGAAATGAGAAAAATTTTATGGGTATGTGTTGAATCTTAAGAAAGATGTTCTAGTTATAGCTGTAATCTCACCATAAGAACAGAATCAGTGGTAAAGGCACAAATTAAAGGTCAGCGAGAAGGTTAAAGCAGGAGAGACAAAGACATATAATGAAGAAGGAAGATAAAGGAAAGGAAAAAACTAGTCGACATATGTCTACCTGATGGCCAAAGAGCCAGCAAAGTAAGTTTAGTTTTAATACAAAAAATGATGGGGCAGTTAAGAGTTATGTACAAAAAGAGGAACAAACCCTTTGGGAAGTGATGCTGTCCTATACATATATTTGGAAGTGCCTTCATTTTCTTTCTCTATATAATTGAAAGTCTAAGAATATAAACTCTAAAATAAAATCCCTTTCTATTCAGAAAGGGATTATTTATCTTGTGTAAATTTTTACCAAGTAAACTTCTGCTAAAAAAATAAATGAAATAAAAATGAGTCTACAGCAAAACAGTACCACGGTTCAAAGTAAACATCATGTTCAACTTATATATAGGTCAGGGATATTTGGTAAGAACAAATGTGAGTTCTGGGCTGCAGACAGGCTCATCCTCGTCAACAGGAACACAGCACCTGTTAAATAGTCAGATAATAGCTAACTCATTTCAGTTATTTTATGAATGAGGCTTTTAAGTTTATCCTTAAACTCTGGCCAATATTTATTAACTTGCTCCTCTAAGGAGCTGTGTTGTGATTTTCATAAAAAGTGACTTAGAAAGCATGTTAGACAATGTTTACAGGTTGGGATTGTCTCTGCAATTTTCATTACATGTTTAGTAGATATGCCCACATCTGGTGATAGATATACATATATTAATTTATTTGTTAACATTTGCTGTAATCCTACTATATGAAAGCTCTGTGCTAACATTAAACCATCTATACTCAATAAGGACAGTCACTGTAGAGATTGTATGCAAGATTTTAGATCTACCACAATTATTACTCAATTTTATTAGGCTCTGGTTCTAGAAATACAACTGCCCAAATCTCACTCTGCACTCAACCCACTAAACTCAGGGATATACTTTCTAAACTGAAATGACCTCAACAGCTCTTTAGTAGGTTTTTTATGGATAGCTTATTATGTGTCAGGTTTTGTGCTAGGCACTGGAGATATAAAAATAAATTAAGACATATTTGCCCTCAAAGAGCTCCAAATCTAGATAGAGGGTGGAAAGGAAGATAAATATATACATTAAATGTAACATAATGTGCTTATTGTTGTATAATGAATATTTAAACCATATGCTATGGAACACAGAGAAAGGAATGACTGATTCTTCTGGTGGGAGAAATCAGGTTTCAAGAGGAAGCAGCATTTGAACTGATCCTTGAGTGATGAATAGTAGAATTTCATCAGGAGCAAAGGGGAAAAACAACATGAACAAAGGCACAGAAGCCTGATTATGTGTAACATGCTCGTGTAAGCACAGTTCCAGTACAGCCGGAACGCTGAAACACAGGACTAGAACTACACGCTGAAGTATATAAGAGAATGGGAGCTGGAGGTAAAGGTTGAAAAGTCAGATTTATCCCATAAGGCTGAGGAATAGAAAAAGGGTTTTAAACAAAAAAGTGATAAGATCATATTCAACATATGTTTTTGGACAACTCCATAGTGCCACAGTAGATCTGTATTGAAGCTGAGATGCAAGGATAAAGGAAGGGCCTGGATCAGACAGATACTTCAATTAATGCCTTTGTGGAGGATATGGCAGAGTGAGGCTGGATACATGGGATTAGTGAGATCAGTGTAATAGTGTCAACTTGATCATATGAGGGCATCACAACAACCACCACAACAACAACAAAACGGTGTGGTGTAATAGAAGTGGCATTGCAAGAAAAGCAGACCTTCACTCAGATTCCAGAGCTGCCATTAATAGATGATTTGGGGGGCCACATTTTTAATTTCTTTGAGTTTCAGTTTCATTGTATATAAAATGGTGATCATAATACATGAAGATTAGAAAGCATATAGGTATAAAGCCATCTCTCATACTTAGCTCAACACACTTTAGTGACTGTTATTAATAAATGAGAAGGCAGAGTTATAGATATTTAGGAGAAAATAAGTAGGAGTTGGTGGTTGACTGGCGAGGGGAGGGAGGAGTTAAATGTGTCCCACATTTGCAGAGTGGGTAACTGGTCACCTGGCCCACTTTCTTACCTCTGTCTAACCTATATTTACACTATAAGAAAGTTGGTATTCTTCTCTGGAGAACTTGCATTTTAAAAATTGCTGTCCAGTAAAGCCCAATCCATTTCTAATTATACCATCTAGTTCAAATATTAATTATACAGCCCGCATACAACAGTATGACACCAAAGAGCAATTATCTTCAAGATCTTTGTTGGTCAATTTCAAGTTCAAACATTAGTCTACTCATTCTGATCTTTAGATAAGAATGAATCAGGAAAATATTCTATGCCTTCTTAATTAGCGGAGGACCATAGAAAAGACAGATGACTAATGTAATGCAATAAAGTAAAGAGTTCTGAAATCCAGGCTAACTGTAGAACATACTCATAAACGTCTTGATGGAAAAAAGACAATATTTCAGAGATTTATGTATTTTTTTACCTTTTGACTTTTTATAACAGGCTAGAACAGAAATACTTAAAATCTTTCGGAAGATTCTTTTCCCAGTTAATAAGTGGTGCTGATTCCTATAATAACTTATTTTATGAATTTCTATTACAACATTCATAGGTGTGGAAATTCATTTTATGCATTCTATTTTATTATAGTAGTGTTGGCTAAAATACCACAGTGTTCATAGACAGGAAATGACCAAAAATAAAGCAGTTTCGCTGCATGCATCCAATGTAAGCAAAGAAAACATTACACCAAGTATTTTCCCATTTCTGCCAGGCGAAAGAAACCTGCCATATGTCATTTTACTGTAGAGCCGTCCCAAATACAGTGAACAGTGAAATCATTAATGGAATATAGCAAAGTTTTAAGGAATTTCTTCCCTTTATGTGCCTATAATTTTTCATGGACGCTTGTTTCCGGGCATTTAGTTACACACCCAGAAGCCAAAGGTCACAGACACTGTTAACACAAGAATTAGCCACTTTTGCCACTACGAAATACTAAAGACTATAAATGATTGCTTAAAATGGAAAACCTTATGTAGTATTTAAAAAAACAAATTGAAACACTAAGGAAGAGATCTTGTACCTCTCTGACTAGCTTTGCACCTTCAGAAAGAATAAGGCTTATGTCATTCTCAAAAGATAAATTTTAATTATATTTTTAAAG